ACCTGATACCCTTTCCTATTTCCCTCTTTACACAGCACACGCATCGGAAGGCGAAAACTGGCGGGAGGTGATTCCGTTCCACTTTCAGTCGTTTCGAAGTCATTTCTGCCATTGTTTTTTTTGTTTTGATTTGTTTTTTTCACAAGTATCCTGCTTTGATGCTTTGATACCCAGTTATACCCGTCGCTCCAGACAAGAATACGAAAAGAAAATACCCACGACAAAAAATTCGAAGTGCCTTGGTCCGACAACATGGACGGGACCTCTTGGTGTTGGTTCATATCGGGCTAGGGTCAGGAATCGTCAGATTTGAGTTTGGAGATGCTGTTGGTGGAAAAAGACTGCATGGAACCGTCTGTGCTGGCCACTAGGGCCGGTGTCAGCTTGTTCGCATTCACATAATACTTAATAGAAGCTCGTTGCGTGTTGTCTAGAATTGTCCGTATGTTCCGCTTCCATCTGTGACACTCGTGACAAGTGAGTCAGTTTCTGGGCTCGGTCTTGGGCGCTATGGCGTGTACACACGTAAGTCATGTCTGTCCGCATCCTCGACGTTTTGACATATAAGTCTAGTTTTGATAACGGTCAGTCGTTCTGTCTAAGCATGGCAGGTCCAAGCTTACTCGACTCCGTACCCTATCCTTTGCACCACGCGAGCTCCGTCCGGATCGAGGGGATTGTCGACTTTGTTATTCCAGAAGGGGGTCAACAAGCGTGAAACGGATGCAACGCTACGGTTTATGGCTTCACCGACTCAACCGTCCATGTACCCCGGGTTTCTGATTTGCGTCAGAAGTATGACATGGCAAGGCAGATTGGATCGAGAGTTGCCTTGCGTATTTTTGCTTGCATCACATGAGGTGGGGTTACAGTGAGGACTCGCAGGAGTCAGGACGCGCAGGTAAAGGTTGAGATGGGATGCGATGCGAAGGAGGAGTCAAGCACACAAGTCAGTCAAGCAAAGTCACGGACGGGCACACGGTTAGTCGGTCGGAAAGTTGACGGCGCAAAAGGCGAGAAGCGTGCGTCTTCCTCCTCTTCGTCTGGCCTCGTGTCCTCGTGTCGAAAGCACAGCGTCTTGTCTTTTGGGAAAGCGAAACGGACGGATGGATCACGCTCGCAGTGGCCGCGCATGCGCCTCAGGTTCGTCCGACCCTCTTGTGCGTTCGTGTGGACGAGCCTTGGAATCCGGAGCCCCATGTCCACTTTGCCCCCCCCCCTTCCCTTCGTATTTGAGGGTGCAGGTCACGGGGTGAGTATGTATGGGGTTCGTTCTCGCGTGTTTGACTGATGCGACCCAGCGTTGCGACGAGGATGGTGTAAGGCCATGACATGGGGCTTGGATGATTTAAGCTTCTTCGGTACAGCGTTCTATTCTCGAGGCCTTGGACCTTTTGTGTGGCCTGGGAGAGTGTCCTGAGGGTGACTGAGTTGAAGGTCCATGACTCCGAGGATCATGAGCTAGGTCCTAGGAATGAGGAGGGAGGGGGCTTAGGACTGTCCCTCGTGCGTTTGTTGTGTGAGAATAACTCCTTCTATGAGTCGCGAAGCTCGAGGAGAGCTTTGATATCGGACTTCCTCTGGGACATTGCTCGGAGGGCATTAGATGAGGATGGACCGGAGAAGCTGAGGGAGACGGACGAACGGTGGGTTTGTGCTGCCCGCTCTGTGTTCGTCGTTCTTACGTTGGCTTTTTCCTTTGCTCTGACGGTTGGTTCGTCGTGTGTCTTGTGAGTTCACGGGAAGCTGGTGCTATGATCAAGTTCATCTCGACGCCTGCTTTGTGAGAGACGATTTTTACGTACTTATTTGAACTTGAGCATTTGCTATGACAGGGACTAGTAGACATTTTTTTGGTCTCCAAAACGGTACGGTATGTACGGCAAGGGCTACAGTCCAAGGTAAGATGGATGAACCTCCTCCGCTAGTCTATCTGCGTCTTGGGATGATGTACCCTAGGCCGGCGTGGCATGCTCAAATGCCTCAACCAATCATCATCCGTCTAAGGGAATTTCTTTCAAAAATCTGTGATCGATCCCCGTGGATCGTGAGATAATGACTTGCATACTGAGATTAGGAAAAGTTACGACGGGCCGGGATGCCGAGGGTTTGAAGTTGGATGTAAAAGTCGGCGCGAATCTTTGCGATCCACATCACTAGAGCGGGTCGATCGATGTCCGTACATGCAGGTCTAGACTCTATTCAAGACTTTTGATAATGGTGGAGAAGCTGTGTGGGTTTTTTGCTTTCCCACTTTATCTTGAACCTTTAAATCCTGTTTGCAGGTGTGGATAAGGCGAGTAAGTATGTGAGCGTGTTTCTGTGGTGGAGAAAGAGATGATGTATTTGAAGGAGACGACGGAAGAAGGTCCGGTTTTGAGGTGTTCAAGGGAGATTGCGAGGATGAAAATATCAAGATCGTGGTCGATGGTCACTGTGAGAAACATGATGGTGATGGTGAGTATTCGGAACTTTAGGGGAGGGAGAGCCATGTTCTGCTCTCGCTATGAGAGCTCGAAAGCACGAAGTCGTCTTAGACGGCATGCCTTGAGGCTGATAGGTAGGTTGAGAAGGGAAAGCAAAATCACAGCAAATGGCAAAAGACAGGGTCAGGCCCGAACCTTTTTACTTCAGCGAAGTTGGGCATGGGGAAAGAGGGCTAGTGACCACTCTGGCCTCTCAGCACTTTGCCTTCAACTGGTGACAGTAGCAACCGATTTTGGACTTATACATGAACCCCAAGGCCTTGGTAATGGGAATCGGGTTCGCCCCCAGAAGCCTTGGTGTAGTTTTGCTTGTCTTCGGAAAGAACGCGCTTCATTGCTTCACTTGAGTTTCGACTTCCTTTGGACGTGGCTCATACATCCAAGTGAAATGTTGGCCATCTCCTAGACTGGAGGAGAGCACCTCAAATTGATCTTCTGATTGTCAGTCGCAACAGGAGAAACATGTCGCAGACCCCTGTTGCTCATAGCCGGCCGACAGAGCGGCAGTCATGGCAGCTCGGGCAAGTTGTTAGCGATGCGTGAGTCGATGCGGATGCAGTCCCGTTCGAGGCAATAAGAGAGTCATGCGCACTTTCCTATCGTTCTCAGGGGTGAACGCCCGTTGCTGGTAGTAGTCGTTATGGTTATTATCCTTTGTAATCTGCCGTTTCTCATGACATTGCAGATGATCGTGTCACTGTACGAAATCCATGAGTTTCTCGCAGTTGGGGGATTTCTTTGCCTTGGTACCGCCCAATTTCTCGACCTCGAAGATTTGAGGCAATGCCAGGTAACGCCAGGCAATGATAGGCGACTAGCAACCTTCTCTCGTTCAAAACTGACCATGGCTTGTTGTTAATTGTGTACGAATACGTCTAGCGTGATGGAGAGGCTGACCGTCGGCCAAAGTTCAGCTTTGGTATTTTAGTACAAAGGGACACGAGTAACACAAAAAGACTGATGCTCAACGTCGAATAGACTAACATAGTAGACAAGAAGAACCTCTCCAGCTACATCGCCGAGAAGAAGACTATTCTTGGAGGGACGTTTGTTTGAACTTGAATACTGAGTTCCGTGCAGGAAACTGGCTCTAAGCTGAGGTCTCTAGTCTTGACCTCCACACGCTACTATCAGTAAGAACGTCATTTGGCATACAACTTGGTGTGTCACGGAGTCACGGCTTTAACCCCGCTCATAGTAGAAGACTTCACAATGAGATACGGGGATTTTCAATGTAGGGAAATGATTGTGAATTTAGCTGCTGCGAGCCTGCTAAAAGGGAATCATCGACTTACAGTTTTGGGTAAGCCATCAAGCCGAGGGGGGTTGTGGAAGGGTCAAGACCGTCGTGCTCTACGATATGGAAAGATTTCTTCTTGTCCTTGGTCACCGCATTGAACGAAGCCAGGGAAAAGCTCAAGGAACAGCACGCATGTTTCCAAGGCACTTAGCCAATGAAGAAGGTTTGAACTAGGATGAACTAGAATTTGCCCTCTAGTCCTTTGGAGGTTGGCAACGCTGGCGTCGAGAGAACCTTGTGCCCATTATGAGTAATTATAACAATCTTCACTTGAGTTTGCTAGCCAATAATTAATCATCTGACACCGAAGTCTCGAGGACTACTGGCTACTCAAGACCTGGAAGATTCACCGAACAGGCATTCCATCCACTTGACCATGGAGCTCAACTCATTGAAGCACCCTAAAATGTGAGCTTCTTTCGATCTTAGGCACCGAAGAGCTGGTGAGCTATAGGAACCTCGTCGGTACTCGCGTTCTCCTCTTATTCTGCAGGGCTTGACTGTACTAGTCGAATCAGGAGCTGATTGGAATTGCATCTCCGTGGTTTTGCTGTGAGATGCAATCTCCAGCAACGACCTGCTCTATCTGCGAGCCTTTGATTCGCAATAATATCTAAATTGCCGCAGATTTATCTATGTTCTAGTGAAACAGCAGCAACACAGGAACAGCCTTCCTGAAACCATGTCAAGCTGCGTGATCTAGAGCCTGTCGAATGCTACTGAACAAGACAAAATGATCTAAGGCACATTGTAGAGACTGTTGGACTCAAAGGAAGGTCCTCTTTCACCCGAAATTAGTCGACGTCTGACATTACATCTGAGGTTCCAACCCGACTACGTGTAGACAAGTACGAAATAAAGCTCAATTCACTTCATCAGGCTGGGATACTCTAAGAGAGAGAGAGGGAGGAAGAAAAAGGCGAGAGGAGCGAAAAGAGCGAAAAGAGCGACCCATATTTCTTCAGGAAAGATTAGCTATCGCACTGTAATACTAATGCTTAAACCCATTCACAAGCGGTTAATCATAGTCACCGTTGAACTTGACGTTCATGAGGTGAGGTTGACCAACTCGAAAGTCGAAGCTTCCGCACAGCACAAACACTGTGCGGGAACGGTCCGCATCTCCACTTTAAAATTTCCATGCCAGGCGCATCTGCAGTAAAGCCGCCAGACAGACCTTGGACCTTCTTTACTTGGGGACTACAAGATCAACCATGGATATCCTCAAAGTATTGTCGCGCGGCATCAAGCAGCCTGCGAAAGGCGCCAAGAACGCAAACAAAGGAGCGGTAAACCTGCCATCCGCCGGCAATCGAACGAACCCCCAACTTTTCCACGACGAGGTGTCTTCAGCGCGGGGCAACAAGAGGAAGCGAGGCAAAGAAGAGGTCGAGGAGAAGGAAGAGGAGCAACTGCCCGAGGTCGATTTCTTCGCGCCCAAGTCCGAAACCCCCAAAGAACCCGAAAATGTCAAGCAGCCCGCTGCCAAAGCCAAAAAGGCTGACAAGGCGTCTACTGTAAAGCCGACTCTACTCCCCGAGGACGAGTGCCGACAGATCCTTCGCTCCCACCGACTGAAGCTCACGCTCCTCTCCGAGCGCCACAAGAAGGCCTCCAAGGTCACCAAGAGCAAAAAGAAGAAGGTTGCCGTCGAGGTCGAGAAGGAGACGAACCAGCTTCACCCTCAGCCCTTGACTTCTTTCTACGAGCTTCGGACGAACTACAATATTGCGCCGCTGCTGGCGGACAACCTCGCGCATCAGGGATACAAGGTGCCGACCGAGGTGCAGCTGGGTGCTTTACCCCTGCTCCTCAAACCAGAATTGGCATTGAAGGAGGTGCCGCAAAACGAAGAGCTTGGAGATGTCTCAAAGGGTGTGGATTTCCTCGCCGTTGCGCCGACGGGCAGCGGAAAGACGATCAGCTTCCTGATCCCCGCGATCAACTCCATCATGCACAAGAGGGAGTCTAGCGAGGACAAGGATAGACACGATCTCTCTGCGATCATCATTGCGCCGACAAGAGAGCTGGTCTTCCAGATTGTGAACGAGGGACGCAAGCTGGCCTTGAACTCTGGCATCAAGATCGCGGGCATGAAGAAGGGCATGCGCTTCGCGGTTGAGGAGGAAGACAAGGCCGAGAGCGAAGATGAGGAAGAGGAAGAGAGTGAGGAGTCTGACGAGGAGTCTGACGAGGACGAGGACAGCGAGACCGAGCCGGTCAAGCCAAAGTCCGTCGTGAAGGCTGATATCCTCGTCACAACACCTGCGCTTTTCTACAACTTCCTTACGGCGGCGTCAAAGACGGATCGCAAAGTCCCGACTGTCACATCTTTGATTCTCGACGAGGCGGATGTGCTGTTGGACCCCCTGTTCCGCGAACAAACCATGGCGATCTGGTCCGCCTGTCCCAACCCGGAGCTGAGAACTACGTTCTGGTCTGCGACTTTCGGTTCCAACATCGAGACTTTGGTGACAGAGGCACAGCTGGCAAGACCGGCATCTAAACCATTGATTCGCTTGGTAGTCGGCCTCAAGGACACAGCCGTCCCCAACGTCACACACAAGTTGATCTACACCGCAAGTGAGAAGGGAAAGCTACTTGGTCTCCGCCAGCTCCTTCACCCCACAGCAGGAGAGGATTCAGGACCACCCCTCCGACCTCCCTTCCTAGTCTTCACCCAGACCATCGAGCGCGCCACAGCCCTGGAAGAGGAACTCAAATACGACATCCCCCTCGCCGCCGGCGGCCCCACCAGAATCGCCGCCCTGCACAGCGGCCTCACCGACAAAGCCCGCGCGAGCATCATGCGCCGCTTCCGCGCCGGCGAGGTCTGGATCCTCATCACGACGGACGTTCTCGCGCGCGGCGTGGATTTCGCCGGCGTCAACGGCGTCGTGAACTACGACGTGCCCGGCTCCAGCGCCGCGTACGTTCACCGCGCCGGACGTACGGGCCGCGCGGGCCGCGAGGGCGGCGTCGCTGTCACTTTTTATACGACGGACGATATCCCCTTCGTCAAGATGGTCGCCAACGTCATTGCCGCGAGCGAGAGGCAGGCGGGCAAGAAGGGCGAGGAGGCGAATGTGCAAAAGTGGCTGCTCGACGCGCTGCCGAATGTCAGTAAGGAGGACAAGAAGAAGATTCGGGAAAAGGGCGTCGAGGCGAGGCGGAGCCATGGGGCGGCGATGATTTCGTCAAAGAGTAAGTGGGAGAGGCGGCGGGATGCGAATCGGGAGGGGGCTACGGCCGCGAATAAGATTCGGATAAAGAATGCGAGGAGGGTGGGTGATGATGAGGCTGGGGAGTGGGGTGGTATTGATGACTGAGGGAGGGCTCCCGTCTTAAAAGAAGGCGTTGGAAAATAAAAGCTTTGTTTTAACTTATTTGGACAGAGAGATTCATGTTGGTGTATGCTGCTATTGACGTGGACTGGTAGCTGAGGTAAGTGAGGCCCTCTAAGCCCTCTCATGTCGAAATGATCCCAGCCATGTAGCGTGGAACAAGCTCGAGTCGAGGCGTGAGGCCAAGAAAGGCGTTGTTTGAAGGCGAGCTAGAAGGTAATCAGATGAGAACGGAAACTTGTGGTTCATTTTCAGGTGGACATGAGAGATGGATCAAGTTCATCCGTTGGCTATTCGGTGAATGTACTGTCGAGAAAGCTCCATTTACACGATTGAGTTTGCTCAAGAGATCGTGTTACTCGGGCAGGAAAGAAGACAAAAACACGTCATTGTTAAGGGAGAATGAGTAAAAGTATCAGACTCTTTGCTTGTGATCGGTTTTGGTTGATTAGCTGAAAGCCCTGTAAACTCGAAGCCATGAGTTTGGTTTCCTTGTTACTCGAATTGGTAACTTCATCCGATGGGTAGGATATCAACAGGAAGAAGTTGGAATAAATAAACAATAAAATAGTAAAGTAATAACCACGCCAGCGCCTTCTGTAGAATTGTAGAGGCAAAAAAAAGAAGGGATTCAGCCACCATCATCCATCATTTGATATCTTTCCATCACGCCACAAATCTTTCAACTCCCCCCGTTCACCCCCTCCAATATATACTCCCCCCTTTAACCATACTGCTGCCTCAAAGGCAACTTCCTATCAAGCGTATGAAAAGCCTGCGTCCGTGGCGTATACGGCACAACCCCGACCCGCGGACTCGCAGGTCCCCCCTTGGCATGCCAATCCCTCATCTCCCACTCCCGTCCCTCTTTCGCATAATCCACCGGCGAGCTGCCATCGCTCCCCTTTCCATCCTCGTCCTCGTCACCATCCACTTTGTCACTCGCATTCGGCCACAACACGTACAGCGCGATACCCAAGTTGGCGACGTAGAGCGCGAGCATGTAGACCGTCACGGCGAAGGTGCCTTTGGCGAGCTGGCAGCTCTTGTAGGCGCTAAAGGGGCGCGCGTAGTCGCACGATTTGGAAATGTACCAGGCGACGGAAGACGGGTAGCGCGGGTCGGCGTGGTCGGGGCCCATTTGGCCGTAGACGGAGACGGTGTAGAGGGCGACCATGGCGATGTTGATGACGGCGGCGAGAAGGGGGAACCAGAATTTCATGATGAAGGCGACGAGTTTGGTGAGGAGGAGGAAGAGGGTTATGACCGAGACGGCGACGTTGAAGTCTGTGAGTCTGTGTTGGTCGAATACGTTAGTGAACATGTTGCCTTTCTTTTGATGGATCGTATGTATGGGGGTGGATGTAAAAACTCACGTTCGTGTCCATACAAAGGGGACCTTGGGATACGGCTCGTAGTTTGCGTAGGCGTAGAGAATCATCTTGGGATTCGAGTTGAAGCCGTAGGCGTGCCCGACCTCCCAGAGCTTCGTCCGGTAGAGGTCCGGCTGCGCGATGCCGAAGAGGACGAGGAGCGGGACGAGGCCGGCGAGCTCGAGCGGCATGAGCGTCCACATCCATGGCCGCAGCAGCCATTTCCTGTGCAAGATCTTGTACGCCATCTTTTTTGCCTTCTCTCTCTCTCTCTCTCTCCTTCGTCCCTTATCGTGTATGTGTATGTCGATGCTTGTGTCGCCTTGGGGGGTTCAAGGCGGCTCAGTCTCCCACTTAATGAGCCTTCGGCTGGGCGTCTTCCTTCTCTCTCTCTTTGCCAAGACTTTTTTTTGGAGTTTAAAGGTGAGTTCCTTTTATTCCGAGGCGCAGTTGTTCGACAAAGCAAACAATGGGACTTCACATCGGCCAAGCACCCAGCACTCGAACGCAATGAGAAGAAGCCGCGCGGTCCCAAGTTGCGGGATTCGAGTTTTACTGTCGTCTTCGCCGTTTCGACAGGAGGTCGAATCTTCAGTGAGAGTGAAGAGTGAGAAAAGGACCAAGAAGAGAGAATGAGCCTCTCAATGGGTCGGATGGGGGCAGGGTGGCAGTTTAAGGGCCATATCTCCCTCCCTTCTGCAGGTCAACCTATTCGCCGCCGCCCGTTTGCTCCATTCATTCATCGCCATTCACTGTCCAAAGAGGGGAGGGGGGCCAGGCGGCGGGTGGCCGGGTAAGCTCAGGGCAAGCAATGGGGGTTGAACTTGTGAAGGGCCGCTGAGCTGCATGTGCCGTGGTTGACCGACGGTGCGCCGTCACAACGGGGAGGTCCAATGAGGAGCGGAGGTGACGAGGGATGCTAAGCGCCGGGTTCGAGAGGGGCCGTTCAATTGGTCGGCCCCCGAGGGGAAGAGCCAATAGGGGCGGCAAGATGCGACCTTGCGCACAATACCCGCCTCGATGAGAGCAGGGGGGGGGGGCTTCGGGGGCCACTGCTGTTGCAGTAATGATTGCCAATGGGATTGGCCGGCGAATGGGGGGTTGGTTGGCAATGTTGGATTGCACGCAGGTGGGTGAGCAAGGTGAGATCAGCTTGTTCGTACCATGCTGGTGCGATGCAACAGCAGATGCGACAGGATACCAGAGAGAGAAAAGTCAGCAAATTGTCTGCCACTCTGCAATTGATGCACGAGTGATGGGTGCTTCATATCCCGGAAATTGAAACCAACAACGTGATTGTGATGCTTGAACTGCGCATGGGGTTCGTGATTATAAGCGCCCGTTGGGGAGATCTTCCCACGATATCCGGATCCGAGAAGCCGGCACAGTGATGGGCACCCGCCGATCCCCGCCGACTTTGAGAAGTGGCCTGATACCAGATACGGGCAGGAGGTATTCGGCTGGATTAACCATCAATCCGAGCAGGCCTGCATCCTGATGGCCATTTCTGCAAGTGTGGCGAAACACCAAGCAGGCAGTATGCACTACATACTACGTGCATTCGCTTGTTCAGCCGGTGTGCTGGTCGACCAAAAATAAGCCTCTGGTCTGTCTCTGGTGATGGCCGGAGGAGTGTAAGACAGGCTGAAGTGCAGTCGCACGAGTGGGTGCATCCCACGCTTGCGGGCTTTCTTAAGCTGATGTGAGCGACGATCTGGTCTGCCGGCAGTGAAGAAGGATGCGGTTGTCAAAGATATTAATAGAGGGGGCAGAGGAGAAGGATGGGAAAGTCCCACGAGAAAATGTCACGAGAAAATGCGATTTGAAGCCGTCATGTTTCTTCAACCTTGGCTGCTAACGTATATCGCCACTGTCCATCAACGTCGATCGTGCCGTTTGACTTAGACTCCAGCCTTGAGTAGAGTTTGAGCTGTCAAACTAGACGTGACAAGCGTGCACGCAGATCATTCGGACGAACTGGTGCGGGCCGCTCAACTCTGATCAACAGCCTCAAATGCCGGGTCTCTGCAGCTTTGACTGCGGCCATCCGTACACCTGGCAACAGAGTCAGGCCTGCCATAGATACTGCGTCCATCACCATCACCTATCTGCGTCATAGGTAGATAGAGAAACGGATTATCCGTGAGACTATGTTCGGCCGGAGCCGATGGCGCCTCGTCGCTGGATCGGAAATGAGAAACCCATGCGTACAGAGGGAGGTCTGAAGCAAGACAATGTTCCTCGCGATGGACCAGAGCGCATCGAGGGAAGAAGATGCGAGGAATGCTGCGTATCTCACACCGGGATTGTGATCCCCGCAACTCTGACTGGCATTGAGAGGTAATTGAGACCGTGATACCGTTTCTCCTTGCGTCATGACCAGCAGAACGAAGCCGTTTGATAAGACATTGGAGAAAGTATTTGCTTCTCGCGACTGTCAAACACGGAGCCAAAAATGACTGGCCTGTTTTCCCTGGATGATAAGGTTGCAAAAAGTGCCATTGGATTCGTGGCATGCGTTGTTGAGGATCGGAAGACAACGGTAACACCGATATTCGACTCCTTTGAACAACACAATCCAAAGACTAGAAACGAACCTCGTTGTCTCGTAGTTTTGCGAGCAACTCGTGGACATGAGCAATTGGTTGGTCATTGAGCGAGTATCGCGGACCGTGGAGCGGGACAAATCATCCGGAAGGTTTATAAGCATTCCTTTCCCTGGCGGAACACCCAATGGCAGCGCCGACCGAGGCAAGTGACACTTGACGTGGCAGGGATACAGGTCGGGAATAAGGCGTGTGAAATGGATGGAGGAAAGACACCATCTGTCACCGTGAATCTTTGACCGAGACAAGGTCGTGAGAGATGTTGAGAGGTAAGGGTTCCCGCGCGGGTTCGAACGCATGGTGCATTTTCCATGGTTGGGAATGCAGTTTTGTATCCCTTCACCAACAGTCGCGACTCGGGGTCGTGTCCGGATCCGAAGTGAGACTTGGAGAGTCTGAAATCCAACGTTGCCTCGTACCCCCGGGGAACAATGTGCGACAGCATCACGGTTTTTGATATTCTTGGCGCCAAGGAGATAGTAAAGCCCTTGAACCACCCTGCATGGCGATCAACACTGTATCCGTAGGTTCAGACTTCAGTGGTTCAGTCGCGAGTATGTAAGCCACATCTCTGCTTGTCTGGTTCGAGAAAGTATTTCGCAATGACGGAATGCGAGGCCAAGTGCCGGGACAGTTACTAAACATATAGCCCGGCCGGCCTAGTCTTCCGCACGGAGCCCGGCACAGACAGCAGTAGGCCGGCGTCATCGTATGATGACTGCTTTGGGGTGGCAGCGGCGTCACTGCCATGGACGCAGCAGAAGTACCAGGCGCGAGGTGGCATGAAGAGAACAGAGGCGCTACTATCTCGTCCTCTTTTCGTATAGCATGAGGACGAGCGAGGTGTCTTGGTCGAAGGCGGTTGGGGCATAGATTGATAGAGTATCCGTATTTCAGGTTTTATCGTGTGCTTCTTCTTCTAGTTTTGCCAGCTGGCAACTCGTCTCTGGGGTAAGGAGATCAAACTTCGAAAGTAATGCCCGGATGCGAACAGAAACTGAGACATGTTGAAAGACCCATGTCGCAAAGCTGCTAAATGTTGATCTGCGGGCTGGCGTTGGAGAGGGCAACGGATTGGTCTTCATAGGTAGGTAGGTATTCGTAGTTGGATGCTGACATGTCAAAATGTGGGAATTCTTACTCTTGGGTTGCAGTCAACAGGCTGGGGGCTACGGAGCCGCAGAAAAGAAACGACAAGTTGACAACTGAACGGGTATGCGTCTGCGTCTGCAACTCAACGACGTGGAAGTTGACAAAAGGGAAATGCTGACCAGTGAGTGACTGCTTCCTGACAAACCTGACAGTTACAAGAGCTGCCGGATTGGGGCCAATGGGAATGGCAGGTGACGATCATTGATCGGCGAGCTCGGGGTGGGGGCGACCACGGTCTGGACCGCGCCAGTTCGAGACCGACAGGGGAGAGCGGACGACCAGGGCCCTTCCCTTCTGGTACACCGCGGGCCCACGGGGTGGAACCCTACCCTACCATGATCCACAGTTATTCGTACCTAGGTACCTTTTGTGGAGTGGGTCAATGCTTGGCTTGTTGGCTCTTTCCCATCCGGACATTTCGAAGCCATCCGTCGGGTTCGCTTTGCTGCATCTTCGCCGTTGCTGACGACGGCGCAACTTTTCGGCTACGCTTGTGGAATGTAAAAAGTCCTCTTCTTTGAACGAATGCGAGAGACAAGCAGACACACGGTTTATCGTGGGCACGCACCAATTTGACTCGGAGTGACGTATGCTCTCTACCAAGTGCCGGGCGTCACGGAAAGCTCGGCGGGTACCTGGCTTGTCACTTGACAAGTATCTTAATTCAAGCGTTGGTCGCCGTCTGCAGCTCTCATTCTTTCTCGCGTCACCCAATACCTACCTACCTTACTGAATGGGTAATGGCAGGGAATAACGGCAAGGCATGGCAGTTGCGCGGGATATGCAGGCAGGCCGTAGACCACGGGGCGAAGCGAGAAGCCGCGAAGACAGAAGCGGACGGAGGCTCGGTCTGTTTACTTTTGAAATGTGCGCCATCACGGCGGGTGTTGGTTTCTTTCTTGTCATTGCTTCCCGTTTCGTTTCCAGATGACTCAAAAGAAGCTGCGCCTACCTACTAGGATGCATTCCTGTGGATAGAAAGAGCGAGATACGCGAACCGATGCCCGGCCTTGTTGGAAGAGAAAGAAGGCAATCTGGCCGGCGCATGTTGCCTTGAAATTGCATTGCAAACATCTGTATGCCGAGGGATCAGAGACCTATACAAGAGACCAGGACCTGTGTACTCCGTACGGGTGAAGTATCTGTGAAGGTGTTGTAAATGTCCAATTCTCCATACGCGGATTAACAAACTGAGGTGGGCCAAGCTTGGGCCTTTGTGTGGACAGCGATACTTTAGGGCCGTGGAGATGGATACGAGGGCTGCAGATTTAACCAAGGTTTCCATGTTGACTTGTACTTGTCTTGCTGCGCAAGGTAGGTAGTAAAAGTTGGACACTGCCGGTGCCCGAACAGACTTTGTCGAGTCTGATAATTGCAAAGTTCCAATGGTACTCTTGGTGAGTATGTCGACGGGTTGGCATAAGGTAAAGCAGATAAAATTGGCTAGGCCGTCTGATGCCTGGTGTGGAACTGGGAGTATCCATGTCTGGAAGCAGCAAGGCCAAGGCTGGACTGGGAGCAATGTCTTGGCCAAGGCGCAGAACCCAAGAAATCCAGAGAATCCAGACCCGGGTCCAAAATACCACGCTGCCGTCCATCCACGATTCCACAATGCCACCCCCAGGGCCCAGCTGTGCCTGCAGTGGGAGGACCACGGTCCATGGGCTGTAGCTCCGCCCCCAGTCCCAGTACTCCGCCTGAGCCTTCATCCCATCCGCCCTTTTTTGTTCCTCACACCCATTTTAGGTTGTTCCTCACATGTGCAGAGGGGGCTGCCTCGTGAGCGTAACGGGCGAGCTTGCATATACCTACACCGGCACACAACTCATATCTTGTCATCTCTGTGTGGCCCGCTAGTCCCTTGGGCGCGAGGAGCCTTCATTCTTCAACTCTACTGATGCTTCCGTCGGTGCTGTTGTCGACAGGGCTACTCAAGAAGGAGGACTAGATGAGATGTATGGAAGGGTAGGAAGTGACAGTGTCAAGTAAGGTGAGATATAGAAGGAAGGAAGTGTCATGAGGCCACCTCAGGCATAGAGGATTATCGGATATATCAATTTTGGTGGCTTTGGTAGTAACGTAGCTGAGATACGGAAGTACACGATGCCGTTCGCACCTGCCCTACCGTACCTTAGGTACGGAGTAGGTATCAAGAGAGAAAGCAAAGGGAAGGAAGGAGAGAACGGGTTGGCAAGAATGAACGAAGAGGAAGGAGTTCCGTAGCGGAACAGCCCCGGTGGAAGGAAGGTACGAAGCACGAAGGGTACACTTCCCATTTGTCTAATAATTCCACCTCATGGCTCCCGCAATCTCATGCATTTCCAATTCCTGTCCAATTCACTCACTCCCAGTCCCAGACTCCCACGTCGTTTTTCTTTTCTTTTTCTGGTCCCTCCCGCAGACCCCGAACCCCCAAAAGCGCCATACCGCCTCGGCCCTCTCGACTGAAGTACGGATACCTACTCATAGCCTGACCAGACCCCCAGTTGCATATCATCCCGTTTCTGTCACTGCCAGCTGCCACAAAAAAAAAAAGGAGTCGATGTGCGTACGTCCTTCTGCAAGGTTCCTCTGCAGTATGTTAGTCTTCTAGACTCCCACCTCACACTCTTAGATCCATTCGCATAATCATGCCCGCCCACCTACCTACAGTAATAGTTACTAGTTACTAGTACCGACTCCTCCCCCCGGCGCCATATCGCAGCTTTTTTCGCGAGACCATTCCAAACCGGTCCAAGTCCCAAAGGTCCTAAACCGGACCAAACCAGGAGAGAAGAAGAGGACAGACGCTTCCCCAAACATTAACCAATACACGCCGTGCCCTCGCACTGACTCCTCTTTCGACATCGAGATTCCCATTCCGCCTTCTGTACCATCTCTCGATTCCATCCTGCGCCTTCGATCTCCGCGTACATCTTCTTACCTACCCACCGCTCCAACCATCGGAAAGGCAATCACCTTCCCGCAGCATCGCAGAGCAGTCCAGTACCACCAGCAGGACCACCAGCACCAGACCACACTGCAAAGCCATCTCATCGTCAGCCGCTCTCGCCTTACGCCTCACTCACACCTCGAGTCCTCAACGGGCCTCCTACCTGCCTGCCTGCCTTTACCGCTCCGACCTCTACGGGCCTGACCTTGCTTTCTCGTCTTGCGGCTTGAAGCGGACCTGACCTCTCCTGTCCGATTCACGTTTGAAGGCACCTTCGCAGCTACGCCTCACAGCATCAGTTCCCGTCGTTGTGCTCAAGGTCCATCCAGTAGCCTCCGAACCATCACACTCGTCCGTGCCATTTCTTACACCGCACCTCGTGTGTGGTGTAGATTGCAGGTACACCCTGGATCGCATTCAACCTCATCCTGGTAACTTCATCTCTTTCCTTCTACTCCCTTCTAGTCACGGCACTTGACCGTTTGCTTCTGCCGTCCCTTATGCATTATGACACTCCTAACGGCGGGTGCCTTAGTGGTGGCACCCTCCCAAAGTTCGGACTGCCAGACTTGGATTGACGACACGCTTTCGGAGTATTTTCCGGTTGACCATCCCACAACTTTGAGCTACTACTCCGGCCGTCTCGTCTCTGTGGCTGCGATAGTGGCAGTCCCATTGTCGCCGTCCAAGTCCAACAAGTCATTATTGTCCCCTTTATCCGTACAGCCCTGCCTGCCATCTGTCTACTCTGCGGCTTGCCTTGTCTTCTATTGACTGCGCCGGATCAATCTTACCTATTCAGTTGGCAGTCCCTAGGTAACCTTCGACTCCAATCCCCATCACATCACCCCAGTCGCTGGCTGTATCCGTACTTGCACCTAACTCACCTTGCCTACCCTGTTCAGGCGCGCCCCGATCAAGCCCGCATGTTCCCGGTCATCCCCCTTCCCCGAATCCCAACCCAGGCGTCCGTCCCTTCCAGACTCTTTTTGCTGCAGGCCTTTCCCCTTCCTGTTCATGGCCCGGGCCCGTCAAACCCTCGCTCTATCTCGATCCCCAATCCCGCCTCGCTCGTCAACCACCTGCACCCCGGTAGCAAGCACGGCAAGGTTAGCAGCTAGCAAAGCACACAGCGCCCGTCTGGTCTGGCAATCTCCCTGTCGGTATTTTCTTCTTCTATTTTTCTTACCGCTAGCTCACTGCCCCCTCTCTCTCCTCTGGGAACACCCGACTTTCACCTACCTACCTTACCTGACTAAGGTAGCGTTGCCCGCCTAAGCCCATCCCTTCCCGCGGCACACCTAGGCTTGCACTCGCTCGCTCGCTCACCCGTGGCCAGCACCACACACCAAACCCCCCGTGTCATCGTCTATTGTGTCTGTGCTTGCCGTGCGCCTTTACTTCTGCACTTGCTTCACTCCCGTCTCCGCTGTCGCTAAAAAGGAATCATTTTAGTTTCGGCAGGGGAAGACAACCATAGAGAAGGAGGCCCGAGACGAAAATTTCTAGAACGGACCGACTCTTTCGGCCGCACTTCATCTTCACTCCCTCCCCCCGCGCATTCATGCCGCAGGGTGGCGATCGCTTCTCCCAATCCACCATACGACTCCTCGCTCCCCCGTTGCCCTCGACACACCGACCCTACCACACACCGGAACACATCGCCGCAACCGCGACCACGGCAACGAACCCGACGACGAGGGCGACGACGACCAGACCGACGACGGCGGACCCGTTCGCTGCCGTAGCCAACACCGCCGCCATACCCGAGGCTTCTACCGCCGCATCTTCTTCTTCCACCACGAACGCCAACCACAAGCGATCCGGTTCACAGCCACAGTCGAGGATCTCACGTTACCGTCCCGCCTCGCCAACCTCGACGACATTGAGTCCCGGAGGGTCATGGACAACTCCCGACATTAGTCGGTATGGTTTGACGTATAGCGACACTACTTGCGATCCCTCATTCGACGCCGCGTCTAAAACGCTCCTGACCCCCAGGTCGGACCCGACCTCTCCGACTATCAGGTCGTTTACAGAATCTACCCATCTGTCGAGACCCTCAACATCCAACGGGAAGCGCTTGTCCGACGACGAAAACGCACACGAACGACCGAACCCTTCACCTCTGAAGAAGGCACGAACTCGGTTGGGGCCGCCGGGGCACATTAAGCTGCCAAAACAACCAGCTGCGTCAGTCATCCTGACTAGGCACAACCAAGGGGTCGTCTCCCCTTTGTTCTTCTCCTCAAACAATAAACGACAGATGCCGCCTCGACCAGCTGCTCTCCCTCCCTCGGACGCTGCAGCCGTCTTGCTAGCTCGTCTGAGGGAGGACCAAGACCGCGTGCACACTGTTCGCCTACCCCGCGGAACCGTCCACGCTCACACATCAACTAGATCTGGGAGTACGCCGGGGAGCAGTAGTTTATCTTCTGCAGACGCCACTCTTACCTCGTCAAGAAGCCCCAATGGCCAGAATCTTCCTCAAGGACTGCAAATTTTGAGAGGAGTTGGCGTGATCGAACTTTTGGAACAGGATGAGCGTCCGACTTTCATCATCGATCTGGCAAATCCTGTCAACGCGCAAAAATCGGGACTGCATTTGCTATACGCCAATGCGGCACTCAGGGCGTCGGTGGGTGTCTTGGAACTGCTTTCTGTGGAGGGTGACGATGTCGTCAAGAACCCCGACTATATCCACTTCAAAACGTGGGCCACGAGCTTTGTCTTAAATCATGAATCCCTCAACGTATGTCTTCCTTCTCACAGCTATGGCGGCATTACATGGACATGCTCGACCTTGCGCAAACGATTTCGCTTCGTGAGTGGCAACGCCAGCGCCGTATCAGCACCGGCAGACTCCCCGGTTCCGTTGGCCGAGGAGTCCGCGGTGCTGGAACAGCGGAGTAGAGGGCCGACACCAAATCAGCCATCAATTGTACCCATGGATGACGAACCCGATTACTTTGGTGATATGGACGGAGAGCAGCACGACATGGATGACACACCAATTGTCGTCGACGACTGTGTCATGGTGGACAGTGGCGAGAAGTACCACACAGACGAGTTCACCCAGCAAGTCTTCCAAGCAGCCATGATGAGGCCGTCATTCGACTGGACCCGCATTCAAACGACCCCGGATTTGAGTGAACACATCCTATTCTGTCGCAACACTGATTGGGCCTCCACATCATTGGGCCCGTTGGAGCATTGGAGTTCAGAATTGAGGGCCATGGCCAACATGGTTATGGGTAGTCCCCACCCTGCGGCCATGTACTGGGGACGGGACAATGTCGCCATCTACAACGAGGCCTATATTGAGCTTGCCGGGCAAAAACATCCACAACTGATGGGCATGCGGTATCAGGACGCATGGAAAGAGATCTGGTCGGATATTGAACCTTTGTTCAGCAATGCTTGGTCAAATGGGCAGTCAATCATGAAGAACGACAACCAGCTGTTCATCCTCCGTCACGGGTTTCTCGAGGAGACCTTCTTTTCATGGTCAATCATTCCATTGCTGGGATCCGATGGCCAGGTGGTTGGACTCTACAATCCGGCTTTCGAAAACACCCGCCGCAAGGTCAACGAACGCCGCATGTTGACTTTGAGAGAGGTTGGCGAGAAGACAGCAGCTGCTAAGGACGTCAGAAGTTTCTGGCCACGGGTCAAGGAGGGATTGGAGTTCAACGACTTGGACGTGCCATTCGCTCTCATCTACTCCGTGAAGGACGACAATAGCGAGAGTGAAGTATCTTCTATGCACTCTGGAAGCATAGCACACCCACCATTATTACACCTCGAAGGCAGCTTGGGCGTTCCGGAGGGACACCCAGCTGGGCTTCCCCAGCTCGATCTGAAATCATCAGACGATGGCTTCGCTCCTCATATGCGCCAATCGATGACGATGCAAGGCGCACCTATCATTCTCTCGTCGGAAGCTGGCAACTTGCCTACAAAGTTGCTCGAAGGTTTGAAGTGGAGAGGCTTTGGTGATCCTAGTAAAAATATCGTGATCCTGCCCGTCCACCCTACTACAGCCGGCGAGTCTGTTGTTGGCTTCATCGTCTTGGGCACCAACCCCCGTCGACCGTACGACGAAGACTATCAGCTTTTCATCCATCTCTTATCGAGACAACTTGCGACTTCCATGGCATCAGTTGTGCTTTTCGAAGAGGAGATCAAGCGAGGACAGAGGGCCGCTCGCTTAGCCGCGATGGATCGTCAAGAATTGCAAATGGAGCTCTACTTGAGAACACAAGAGGCAGTCGAAAGCGAATACAAGTTCTCACGAATGGCAGAGTTCGCACCTGTCGGCATGTTCATTGCTAATGACAAGGGCCTCATTAACTTCGCCAACGACATGTGGTGGCAAATTTCGAGGCATCCCAGAACAGAAGACAGTGTCAACACATGGATGCAAAGTATCAGGGACGAAGATCGATCGGGCGTCGAAAATTCTTGGAGGAAGCTCATTGAAGATAAGGAAGCCATCACCATTGAGTTCAGGTTCAAGTGCAGCCGCCAGAACGGAATGAACACTATCGACACTTGGGTCCTGCTGAGTGCTTTCCCGGAACAGACTGAGGAGGGCAACCTGAAGAGCATCTTTGGTTGCATCACCGACATTTCGCCTCAAAAATGGGCCGAGGACTTCCAGAAGCAACGCAGGGAAGAGGCGGTTGAGCTCAAACGCCAACAAGAAAACTTCATCGACATTACGAGCCACGAAATGCGGAATCCACTCAGTGCGGTCCTCCAATGTGCTGATGAAATTGTCAACAGTATCACAGAGTACCGCGCTCAGCCGCAGGATCCGACACAACTCGACACCCTGTTGGAAAGCTGCACCGAAGCCGCCAGCACCATCAACCTATGCGCCAGTCATCAGAAACGTATCGTCGACGACGTGCTCACGCTCTCGAAGCTCGACTCGCAACTTCTGCTTGTGACGCCCGTCGACTCCCATCCAATTACGATAGTCAAACACGTCATCAAGATGTTCGAGTCGGAATTGAACACCCACGAGATCAAGCTCGACTTCTCGGTAGACAAAGCTTACAGCACCCACGCTGTCGACTGGGTCAGGCTAGACCCTTCGAGGCTGAGGCAGGTTTTGATCAACCTGATGACCAACGCCATCAAGTTCACTCAAGGTCGTGAGAAGCGCGAAATCACCATGAAGATGAGCGCATCCAAGAACATTACCGAGGTTACCGAAAAGGGAGTTTCGTTTTTCCCAACCCGTAAAGAGAAGGAGGACGTTCGGGCTTTGACTCAAGAGCAGGACTGGGGCACAGGAGAAGAAATCAACCTCCACTTCTCAGTGCAAGACACGGGCCCTGGTCTTCGCGAGGACGAGAGGAAGCTACTCTTCCAGCGGTTCTCCCAGGCCTCGCCTCGCACCCACGTACAATACGGTGGATCAGGACTCGGTCTCTTCATCTCGCGTATGCTTGCTGAGCTACAGGGTGGGCAAATTGGTGTTGTCTCAGAGAAGGGTATAGGCAGTACTTTTGCGTTCTATGTCAAGTGTCGCAAGACGGAGTCGCCTAGTCTAGAGTCACCGTCTCTCTCGGCGCTCAACTTGGCGCAACCGATCAAGAGCGAGCCTACCTCCACACCATCGACTCCCTCCCTCACAACCCTGCCTAGAAGGGCTTCCATCAAGAAGCCTATCGTCACTACGACACCGCTGTACGATGTCTTGATTGTGGAGGACAACATTATCAATCAGAGGGTCCTACGGAAGCAACTCACAGCCTGCGGCAACAACACATACGTCGCTAATCACGGAGGCGAGGCCCTCGAACAGCTCAAGAAGTCCCGTTTCTGGGCTGGCAACGAGGCTGAGGGCTTCGATCTCAGCGTCATTCTCATGGACCTGGAGATGCCGGTCATGGATGGAATTACGTGTACGAAACGTATTCGCGAACTGGAGAGGGCAGGCACTCTGACTAGGCATATACCCATCATCGCTATCACAGCTTACGCGCGGCCAGAGCAGATTGAGAGCGCGAAAGCCGCCGGTATCGTAAGTTGGTCCCGAATTACACACCCCGAACTTGACTAATATGATGACACAGGACGACGTGATTTCGAAGCCTTTCAGAATACCAGACTTGCTGCCCAAGGTGAAGGAATTGGTTACGATGTACAACGCACCACCTACCACCGAGGCCGTGCCCTCGGCTTGAGTGGAACAACACCCATAGAGGCTGCGTTCGCATGAAGCCTGTCAACCGCATGCGGTCCTGTCCAAAGCGAGAACAGGAGGCCGTTGGAGTTGGATCTCTGTTTTACTCATATTTCGAATTGGGTCCTTGCATTTTTCATTTTTCTCCGTTTTTCGCCAAGACTCGCTATTGCACCAGAGAGGTGTAGTAATGCTAGAGGACAGGCCGGGGGCGTTCCAGGAGGGGCAACTGACCAAAAAGACTTGGGAGAAGGTATTGGTTTGTTTCAGTGTGCATAAGAATTGCATTTCAGAGGAGCAAGGCATTCGGAAGCGCGAGACTTGGAGTATTGAGGGCGGTAACGCACATGATCCGAGGACGAGTCACGGGCATATGGAATCTAAGTGGGCAACAGATCCTACTGATGAATATCTTTAGCGTATCTTTTTTTTTTTTTTTTTTTTTTTTTTTTTGATATTCCTGACTCGGAGTATTGTAATGCAAAGATACCCGTATTAACATGTTTAAAATAATTCTGCGCGCGTGCGTGAAGCTTGATCTTGTGTCACTATACAGTTATTTCCTGTCCAGAGTCGTTGCGAGGTCACCTACAGTCGTCGCCTTCCATGTGCGTGATTGATCCAAGCTTAACTTAACCAAAGCACGGACCATGCACTGTGCTTACGTAACGAAGATTTTTCTGCCAGAGCAAGCTCCTGGCAAGATCTACCACGAAGTCAGGGACGAAGCTCACCACTTTTGACAGACATTGATCGCGAAATCTCAACCCGCGCCCGCCCCGAAAATGCATCAATCGGCGCTGCGATCGGCAAGCAGCCGCATAAGGCCCGACGTGGTCGCCATCAAGACCTGCATCCGAACCTTTTCCACGACGCAATTGCGTCCCGCAGACGAATCGAACTCGAACAGAAACAACAGCAATAACAAGAATGACGGCGACAAACCTTCCTCGCGAGCCTATAACAGACCTACACTCACCGGACGAGAGCGCTCCCGCGCCGCGGCTAGCGAGATTGGACAGCTTCTGCGTGGCGGGCCGGTGAATGCTGCTGCTGGTGCTTCCGGTGGTGGTGCTGGAGCTCAGCCTAGGGGACTCGATGAGAGGCCTCGTGGTCTTGACGAGAAGCCTAGGGGTGGTCTTGATGGGCCTTCTGGACCTGGAGGCGCGGTGAAGTTTGTTAAGGCGCCCATTGGATTCGGACGGGGCCGCGGTGGTGGTGCTGGTCTCGGCGCAGGCTTCGGCGCTCGTGGAGGACGTGGAGGTGCCGGCGGATTCGCTGGCCGTGGAGGAGGCGAGGGAGGAGGCGGGTTCAGAGGACGCGGAGGCGGAGGCTTCAGAGGTCGTGGTGGCGGTGACCGTGGCGGTCGAGGTGGACGCGGAGGACGCGGAGGACGCGGAGGCCGTGGAGGTCGCCGGGGCGGACGCAAGGGCGACGAAGACGGCGAGAAGAAGGCGCCTCCACCAAGAATGGACATGAAGGCCAGCTTGGAGAGGTTTTGGCGGCCCGAGACGGCCGAGGAGCACGCCTACATTGCGAAGCGCGACGGTCCTTACGAGTTCACCCCCAGCCTCAGCGTCAACGATCTGCTGGGCTTCCGGCCCGCTATGCCCCTCTCCTCGGCGGCCCCTCCCGTGCAGGCGGCGACGGTGTTGAGTTCGCTGAGGGACGTTGCCGGCGCGGCGGATTACACGCCCGAGCGGTGGGGTGATTTGCGGCACACGGCCGAGACGCTGGCGGATGCCAAGAATCGGGGCGTGTACTTTTTCGTCGACGCCGAGGAGAAGAAGGTGTTTGCCGAGGCGCTTAAGGAGCGGGCGGACGAGGCGGCGAAGAACCCCGACGGCGCTGTCGTGGGTGACAACGAGGTCCACGTCCACGCCGTGCGGGAGATGAAGCTCGAGGAGGGCGCGAGCAAGGCCGTGCGGGAGTATATCCTCGAGCGGGCCGTCAAGGGCCAGCACGTCGGTCCCACGTTTGTTCCTAGTGGCAGCCGGGATCCGGTCAACATGGCGAGGGAGTCGCATCTGCATAACGAGACGTATGTGGCGGGGGATATGAAGAAGTTTGACGATAAGATTGCGGCGCTTGTTGCGAAGAAGGGTGCTGCTGCTGCTGCCAAGGGAGGCAAGGCTGCGAGGGCTTGATTGGAGCTTGCGTCTTTCAAGAGATTGTAATATCAACAAGGACGGTACACGTACGGGGAAGAGTGAGGGTGAAAAATCAGACGGGGGTTCATTGTAGGATTATAGAGATGGGGAGGTTTGGTACTGCCAACAAAATACATATTGTACAACTAGATCCGAAAGTCTCTTCTACTGTACAATTGAATCTTTTTCATCTCAGACTCATTTTAATAACTCCTGGCTGTCCAAGAACTTTAGGCCTGCAACTTCTTGACTGTCTGCTGCTCAGCAGCATCGACAACCTTCATCTCCTTATCCTGCACCTTTTGCAGCTCCTTGTCGGCCCTCCTCTTCAGATCCGGCACGATGCTCTTCTCCTTCTCCCACTTGGCGTGCAGCTTCTTCCTCTTTTCCGTCGCGACGCGCATCTTGTCCCGCCACGCCTGGGCAGCGTCCTTTGCCCTGCGCACGACGACATCCTTGTTCGTCGCCTCGACTTTGAGCACGAGCTCGAACTCGTTGTCCGGGTCGCGCTGCGGCTGCTGGTTGAAGTCGGGCGAGGCCTGGACGGCGGCCATGACGGGCTTGACGTAGTCCTTGTCGTGCAGCAGGAGGCTGACGGTGCGGCCCCCCGGCCGGGGCACGATCTCGGCGAGCTCGCGGAGGGGGTAGGTTGTGGACGGGTCCTTGCGGTCGGGCTGGATCGCGAGGGCGCCGATGGCGTCGGGCGAGAAGCGGTCGCCGGATTGGAGCTTTTTGAGGATCTCGGTATGGTGGGAGGAGAGGGAGGCGAAGCGGGAGGCGACGTCGGCGAAGTTGAGGGGGTCGGTCGGGTCTGGTTTCGGGTGCTTTGAGCCCGGGAGGTCGTCTGTGTCGGCTTCGTCTGCTGTGTGGGAGGTGCGGGAGACGACGGCGGGGGAGTCGGCCGTGGGGTACTTGGGCTCGTTCTTCTTCTTCTTTTGGAGGGTTGTTGATTGGGAGAAGGGACGGATCGTCGCGGGGGTGACGGCGGCGGCGGTGTTGGCTTGCGGGCGGAGGTTTGAGGTTATCATCAGGCGAGCTGCGAGCGGCGCCTGGATTGCGCTGATGTCTCTGGGTCAATTGAAGTTGCTTGGATTGAGCGGGTATGGGCAATCACCTTTGCGAAGCTGGGAGGATGCCATTGGCGCCTCTAAGGAGCGAATTGGGGGCTCTGAGTCCTCTCATGGTGTCGTTATGCGCTGATGTTTGTGTTACAAGCTGGTAGACGGAAGCTCTCACAATTTTGTACCGTTGTATGTGACGTACGGAGCTTGGTGGGTGGGCTCGGCTCCATCAACAGGGGTCCTTATTCGCCAACCCGCGTGAAATTTTCAACAACAAACGATGGTCGATTGGCCTAGCGGTTACGGCGTCTGCTTTACACGATCATTCAATTCTGAATCATCTATATCGCAGAAGATCGCAGGTTCGATCCCTGCATCGATCATAAGCATCAACTTTTGCATTTTGTCTTGAATACTCAGGCATGGTGTTCAGTTTTGGTGTTGCGAAATCCCTTTTATCAGGCAGGAGCAGTGGTCAAGGAAGGAAGGCGCACCATCCGTCCTTTTTTAATCTTTGATGTTCAGCTTTGAAGCTTAACCTTGTGTAGGAAAGTGCAGCACACTCAGTACACGCATTTTACCTTGGGCTCTCTCCTAATGGCACAGGTACAACTGTACTCCACCACGAATATGGCGAACAAGAATATGGCGAAAGAAATACAAACAGCCAGGAAGTGCAATGACAATAGTAGTCATAATGATAGAAACAATTGTGACAGCAGCGACAGTGATGAGGAAAGCCGTGAGGAAGCCGAAAGTTTTAACGGCAAAATGTGCCACCCAGCTGCGACCTACTCCGTACCTTACCTACCCCAAGAGCCCCCAAGCTCTCCAGCCAGAGTCGCGCTTTTCCACAAGCACGCGACGTCAGTGGGAGGCTCAACCTTTCAACCACCACTCACTTCGCCCAACACCTCACACCCGCCAGAATGGAGATCGAGGTCGATGAAGATCTCTTGCGGACGGTCGCGACAGGTGGCGAAATGGACTAGTAAGTCAACTCCCTGTCTTTCCTATCCATTTCCTGTTTAGCTGCTAATTGTACGGCGCATCATCAGCGGTCTATGGCCCGCCCTGTCGCAAGGAATAATCTCGAGGCTAGATAAGGTACGTCCGCCCCCAGGTCAGGCTTCGGCCGGAAAATCCCACCATCGTACATCTTTGCAAGACGAAATCTCCTCGGTAGGGCGCGCTCACCAGTTCGCATCGCGAATGTCTAGATCGCCCACAACGAGTTCCCTATTCCGAACCTACCCACCCCTCCTCAACCCATTAACGCGTCAGGCCAACAACCACGACTCTTCTCGCCGCTCCCCTCGTCCTCCATCGATCCCGGCAGCAGCCAGCCGTCATCACAGGATGCCGACAAGGAGAACAGCCAGCCCAAAGATGCCTCACCATCCAAGGCCCCGGTCGAAAGCGCCCCTGATGCCGACGCAGCTGTCGACGACGCACCCCACGCCACCGCTTCGGGATCGCTGCCCGCGCAGATCGAAGCCATGCTGAACGAGATCAACGCCGTCTTGGCCAGCTTCCCAAAGTACCCACCGCACACGATCCAGCGCCTTGCCGAGCTCGTCCTCGAGCCGCGACGCCATTACCGCCATCTGGCATCGTACCTCCATGCCGTCGACCGCGTCGTCCATGTCACCAGCGGCGCAAACACCTACCCTCTTCCGCCAGCCATACCCGACATGTCCACCATGACACTGCTCTCCAATGGCAGCGCAAACGGCCAGGAGGTTAACAACCCAGCGGCCTCGGTCGCCTGGAGCAACTCGACAAACTCGGTCGCCTCAACCGTCGGCACGGACGAGGCCCTCGGCGGCGCTCTACTAACCCCGATTCCGTGGCTCACACGCCGGCCGAGCCCTGGCTCATCCTCGCCAGCGTCCTCAAACGGCGGCGGACCGGCCGAAATTCGTACCGAGTCGACGGAGACCATTGACGGCCCTAATGGCGTCGGAAGTATCGAAACCGTCAGCGTTAGCGTCAACGGCATACCGTCTATGGGTGCCAGCAGCAGCCGCGCGATAACACAAGGTGAGTTACTGCGACAAGAGCAGGAGCAGGGCGTCGTTCCAGTCAACCAACTCGTGCGACAAGCAGAAGAAGCACAACACGCCGCCGCCCTGCGAAGCGGAGACGGCGGCAGAGCCAGTAGCCCCGAGAAGCAGCAGCAAGATGATGAGCAGCAAGAAACTGCCGCTGCTGCTGCTGCCGCTGCTGAAGACGAGAACGAGGCGCCGCACGCTCGCGGTCCCGAGGAGATTGGTGTTGGTGACCTCGGCCCTCAAAGCGAGACGACGAGCTTTGTGGGCGGTGGTCCCGGTCTTGACATGCAAGGCATTGATGTCGAGGCTGCGGTGGGCCGGAAAGCCGAACAGACTCATGCCACGCCTCCTCCCGAGGACGCAAAGGACGGGGATGCCGCGGCGGAGGATGCGACGGCGGATGCGGTTGTTGACGATGCGGCATCCGACACGAGTGTCACGTCGCATCCTAAGCGTGATGCTGATGAGGAGCTCGATGGTCTTGCGAGCAAGAAGGTCAAGGAGCATGAGGGTGACGTTGCGGGCGAGGCAACGGATGCTACAGTCACATCGCCGAAGGAGGACGGCACCAAGGAGGAGGATGTGAAGACGGCTGAGTCCGGCGAGTCCAAGGCTGGGGAGGGCAAAGATGAGGAGACTGAGACCAAGGAGGATGATGAGAAGGACGAGAGTGCGGCGGAGGCTGCGGCAAAGGCGAAGGCAAAGGCGAAGGCAGATGCTGAGACGGCCACCAAAGCCGGCGGCGGTTAGGAGAGAACGGAAGGAGCTTTCGCTCAGTGAGTGAGCTGTGTTGCGGATGATTATATGATACCAAGAAACCGTATTCACCAAACCCCACGTTTATTTATTCTTGTGATTCGAGATTTGACGTATCGTCGTGTTTGGTTTGAGTTGGCGCGTCAATATTCACATGTGATTTCTTCCAAGTCAGACATGAAATTCTGACGATGGGCTAAATCAATCCCAAGACAAGAGAGGTAACATCACAGAATGCACGGGTGGGTGAAGCAGGATCCTCGACCATAGCATTGCCAACTCAAGTGGCAAGGTAGTATTCGTGTAGCTCTCTGAATACATGGGCAAAGAAGTAGAAAACGTAAACCTCCTAAACGCCATGCGCTATTCCATGGTCCACTGTGAAGCAACCCCGGATTCCCACCACATTCCCATCCAAACGCCATATGAACAGATGAATCTCATTACAAGACTCTGGTAATGCTCTCCTTCGTAATGACACTGTTCTGCTTATCGTCCCGCCGAACGCGGAAGAAACTGTCGCAGAAGTCACTGCAGCGCATGTGCCGCAAAAACTCTTCGTCGTGCGTGATGACAATGAGCTGGAAGTTACTCTGCGCCTGGCGCGCCTTGATAATGGCGTGCAGACTCTCGGCGAGACTCTTGATGTTGTCCTTGTCGAGATTGGTCGTCGGCTCGTCGAGGGCGATGAGGCCGCAGTTGACGCCGAAGCTCTCAGCGAGGGCGAGGCGGATGATGATGCTGGCGAGGACCTTTTGACCCGCTGAACAGCGTCCACGCATGTCCATCTCCGTGTCCTGCTTGACCATGCAGACGCGGTAGTTGTACGAACGGCGGCCCGTCGTCGCGTTCTCGTTGTCGGAACGAATGAGGATGGTGTCAATGTCGGTACCCTGATACGTGCTCTGCCATAATTCGCCGGCGATGCGGTTGATCTCCTCCATCTTGAGGCTGTGGTACCGCATAATGGCCGTGTCCAGCGCCGAAATGTACCGGCCCAAGTCCTCAATGGCAGCTTTGGTCGTCTCAACCTTGATGTGCGACTCACGGTACTTTCTGGAAGAGTTCTTGTACTCCTGTTGCCACTCTTCCAAGATTCGTTCAAGCTCCTCATCTTTGGTCTTCA